CAATATGTTTGCATAATCTAGAAGTGCTGTAAAAGCTAACCCAAATTCTAAGAACGCGAATCGTAAACGAATAACTCAAAAAAATTTCTAACTGCGTATTTAAATGTGTATCCAAATTGCCGCCTGGCCGTAGATTTTAATTTATAGCCTCTTTCCGAGTTTGACGTGTAATTTCGAATGCACCCGCTTCGTTCGTCTTCTATCTCTGGTGTGTGTGTTGTGAGGGGAATTTGAGACCGTGTCATCTATCAGTCCACAGGAATTTCCTGAGCATGAATGAGAAATAATGGTATCCCGAGTCCTCCGGGCTTGCGTAACCTTCTGCGGAGTGAATGATGAGGATGAGACGTATCCCGGCGGGACATCTGTCAAAAACCAGGTAAAGACGATAAGAAAATTTAAAAGAAAAGGTAATGCACACTTCCGTATTCGTCTGAGAGAAGGATATACAAACAAAAGCAAAACAACCATCGAATATCAATCATGGCCTGGTTTGTAAGCAAAACCTCATTTTTTTTTTTTTTTTTTTTTTTTTTTTTTTTTTAGGAATTCATCTTTCTCGATGTATAAAAAAATTAAACTTGACAAAAATAATAACAATATTTAAAGTTATAACGACATCAAAGAAGAATGTGAACACTTCCGTATCTAAGGATGCTAAACTCGTCTTTGTTAATCTCTTCGTTGTCCGTAACGTGTCTATAGCATTCAAGTGAAACTTCCGCAGGGCGGCAGTAACGCGCCTCAAGCGTTCTTCTACATTTTAAAACTTTTAAACGTTTAAGGGGGCTCATACACCTTAGACCTCTTAACACCCTTCGAATATGTGACTGTTGCAGGAATTGGGATACATTATTTATTTTAAAATCAATTACTTCCCACTTTTTACAGCTGAGTACATAATATAGCTGCTTTCTGAAATAGTGTTCAGAAAGTTTGTGTTGCCACAAATAGTTTTGTAATTTAATCCGCTTTGTGGATAAAAAGTTTCGTCATGTTTCCCAACCTTGCGCGCACGATATATTTTTAAAAATGGCTAATAGTACATACTTGAAATTTGATGGAATTTCTTTATATAGGCACCTATTTTTTCAACTGAACCTAAAAATCTGATGAATATTTTAATACTTAAAATATTTTATGGACGAAAACATCTACATATTTTTTTAATAAAATACATTATTATAAACTCGAACTACAAGTAAAATAAAACTTTTAACATGAAATTCTTAGAATTTTTTCTTCACAGTTGTTTTTAAATGTTATAAAAGCTACAGGGTTTGGACAAAAATATGGAAGCACCTTTATGCAAAAACAGAATGTTTTAAACTGTGCGCGCAAGTGGAAACATGACGAAAACTTTTGTCAAAAGCGGATTAAAATTATAAAAATATTTGTGGCAACACAAACTTTCTGATCACTATTTCAGAAAACAGCTATATTATGTAGTCAATTGTAAAAAGTTGGAAGTAATTGCTTTTAAAATAAATAAGTTATTCCAATTCTTGCAACAGTCGCATATTCCAAAATCTTATGGGTTTTAAGGTGTACGAGTCCCCTTAAAATGCTTTCTAAATGTTTATGTTTATGTGAGTATCGTTTGCTTCATTTTATTGTTTCAAACAGCGTAAATTTCTTTTGTTTTTCTTCCTTTAGTTTTGAACTTTATGTGTGGCAACAAGATAATTGATTGATAGAATTGTGTTTGTAACAGCCATGTAGAATGGCTCGCTTATTTTGTATCAATTATTTCGCATCGCTGTCATCTTATTTATAATTAGTGTAATGAAATAAAAGTGAAGGAATACAGTCCATTTGTTGATTGATTATTGTTTGTGAAACATATTAAGGAAAGATCAGTTTACTTGTTTGAGTTTTTATTTTTGTTTGTTCTAATACCTCCTAGAGGGCAGTACTAATCAGGCATTCTATATTTAATTGAATTTGCCCCGGGTTTTATGAATATTCGCGCCATTTTACGTAAGATACAAGACAGTGAGAGATAGCTTTTAACGTCTACTCGGCAGAAAAAGAGAAAACAATGAGGTTGTGAATTGGAAAGACAAGAAGGATATACATTTTATGAGTACAGTCCATAATAACTCGATGATAGATGTTGGAACACGGAAAAGAACTGTAAAAAATCCAATAATTGCAAAAGATTACAACAACAAAATGGGAGGAGTGGACCGCCTGGATCAGATGTTATCAAATTATCCTGCTGTTAGAAATAAGCAGAGATATTTTTATTTTTTCATTATGCTTTATTTCCTTATAATTTTACTTAATGTTCATTGACATTCATTCACTACGAAAGTCATGTATGGAAAGTTATGATGTACAGAGAAAACAACATTACACGCTACGAAAAAACAGACGACCGCAGGAGTGGGGAATTTTCGCGGACAGGAGAGGACGGCGAAAGGGTTAATTATTAAAATGTTATAAGGTACTTCTCCCGCTTTCCTAGCGTACCTTCGTGGTGTAGTGGTTCTGCACGCTGGGCCGGTATTCTGCACGCTGCTTGGAGAAGACGTTTGCTAATTTTTCATCTTGCCTGCTTCCAAAAAATACCTAATGTCTCTACAGTGGCGCCCGAACTAAAAGGGTGTTGGATTTTGCTCACACAGGATTTGGCGATTGGGTCCCCTAAAAATCTCAGTCACCCTTTAAAAAGGGGAGGTATATAAGGGATTTCGCCCGCCTTCGGAGTGTAGTGGTTCTGAACGCTATGCCTGTATTCCAGAGGTCCGTGGTTCGATTCCCGGCAAAGGTGATTGCTCAGTTTTCCTCTGTCTGGCTTTTCCAATTAACTTAATGTTTCTACAATGTTGTTAATGATATATCCAAAAATTATGTGATATTTTTAATTTGAGTGGTTGTTAATTTAAAATGCAAAAACCGGACGCATTTCTGTTTAACCTTCTGACCGGCACAGGTTTACGCTAAAAAATCCCAAATTTCTTAAAGCTACGAGGAGAAAATTGTATCTTCTTGGTCAACGCCAAGTCACCCCTGGTACCAGGTCAAAATGCCCCTAGTACTTTACATCTGGATTTATATAATTTAAAATTTCTCGACTTATATATAATAATGTTCTCACATAATTAATTTGTGGGCATATTTCAAGATGCATATATTAGGTTATATAAAAAGTCGCCGCGGTATTTTAAAACATTTTTAACAAAACGTTTCTTTATTAAAAATCAGTTTTAATCAAGTACGTGTTGACCATTACTATCTATGACCGTTTGCCATTTTTCGGGTAGTTTCGTAATTCCATCGGTGTAGAACTTCTGTGGTTTATCGTCGAAAAACTTGGCCAATTGATTTTCAGCGGCGCTTCCATCGTCCAATTTTTCACCATCAAGAAGGTTTTGCAGAGACCGAAACAAATGGTAGTCAGAAGGTGCAAGATCCGGGCTATAAGGTGGATGCATCGAAACTTCCAAACCAAGTACCCTCAATTTGTTCAGAGACATCAAAGATGTGTATGACCGCGCATTGTCATGATGCAACACAACTCCCTTTCTGTTGGCCAATTCTGGTGGCTCTTTCTGGATTGCTTCGTTCAAACGATCGAGTTGTGCACAGTGCAGGGCCGAATTGACTGTTTCACTAGGTTGCAGGAGCCCGTAATGGACAATTCCGAAATCTTTTGCATCGAAATTTCCGGACCGGAATTGTGTAAACCACACCTGGGTCCTTTGTTCACTCACAGCATTCTCACCGTACACTTCACAAATGTTTCGTCATGTTTTTGCAGTGTTTTTGTTATTATTTTTTTTATAGTAAAAAAGCATCACATAGTGCATTTCTTCAGATATTTCACTCATTTTCAAATCAGCATAACGTTTACACGAGCAACGAATTAGAAAACTATCTTCGCAAACAATGGAAGCTGAATGTGACCTTTTAAGCAAAACATGCTCGTTTGAGACGATCGGGTGAGTGTTGCCGGATATATAGGCATCAGCACCCTCTAGTGGTAAAATACCACGCACACTCTTTATATGACCCAAAAGGTGGTGTTTGGTGTGGTGTATTTAATTGTGGCAAAGCACGCTAGGGGTATCTGCCTAAGGGGAGGGATGCCTTCGTGGAGGACTTTCTAAGGGAAACTGACTAATGACCCAAAAGGAAAGGGAGGGATGTCCGGTGGAGGTCTTTTTAAGGGAAACTTGGCTCGTATCCACGTTACATGTGGGGGAAAACCACGAAAACGTCCATGCAGCCAATCCGTTCGCAGGGCTCGAACCCCGGACCGAACTAATAGTGTTCATCGCATATACGTATTTTCCTTTTTTTTTTTTAAGATGGAGGTTCAGAAAACAAATTCTCCTGCCTAAACTACTCATTATAGTAAAAGCAACACAAGGAAAGGTTTTTCAGGATTTTATGTTAATTAGCCAATTATTATGATCTGAAATTTAATCTGCACATTATGATTTTAAATTTGATATTAATCACACAAATTCTTTGTTATCGATAAGACCTCTCTCTTAGCACAAGAAGAGCTAAAAGAAATATCCTTTTAATTTCGAAACTCAGTTTGACATTAGGTTATTTCGAAGCAGAAGACATGAAAAATGTCCAATGCCTTCATCGAGACTCGAACCTGGTCCTCTCGAATACGCACCGAGTGTGCGGACCATTACACCACAAAGGCATGCTAAGAAGGCGAGACAAATACCTTACATACTCCCCCTTTTAAAGGTTATTTCGAAGCAAGGGAAATGAAAAATATGCAATGCCTTCACCAGGACTCGAACCACGGACCTCTCGAATACGCGTCGAGTGTGCTGACCACTACACAACAAAGGCATGCTAAGAAGGCGGGAGAAATACCTTATAAGTTTTGTGTCTGATTCACTTTTTAAGTTGACAACCAGTATTGAAATTGTGTTAACACCAAATCTCACCATGTATTATTTAAAAGAACTCAATACTGAAGAATCTGAATAAGCGTTATGTACGTTCCTCGCTTTTCAGAAAAAACGATGGCACCTAGAGGTATAAAATTTATGATATACGTAGTTCTCTACCCAAACACGTGTACATCGAAGCCCGACTTTTTAAATTTCGAATTTATTTTTTAATTTATTGCATATTTTGTAAAAATTTAACTAATTTTTGTTTAACAAATTCAGCGATTTAAAACGAAAAGTGGCAACACTGTTCGAAATAAAAAATGTTTTTCGCCTGCTTGCTGAATCGTTGCCATTCGGCAAAATGTAACATATTTGTCTTTAAATTTTAATCAACAAACTCAGTTATTTAAAAGCAATGCCGGAAAAAAAATGTTTTTGTTTTTTACGGCCCAGTGAGCTCACATTCAGTAAAGAAACTTACAGATTTAATTTTGGAAAGTTGCTGAGTAGCAAAACTAAGCGGTTTAAAAGCAATAAACACAGTTCTTAAGAAATACTTTTTCTACATTTTAATCAGATCATAATTGATTTAAATAAATGTGCATTAAAATCGTGAGATATTCAATCAGAAATATTAAGTATTTTGTAAGCAATATCAACTCTTTTTATAACAACAACAACAAATATTTTTGTAAAATTGCATTAGCTGGAATGATTAAAATTATTACATACTTTTTAATAACAGTTTTAAGCGGCTAGATTTTAAAGAATTAATATTTTAAGCGAATATAAAAAATGCAAGGCAACCCCTAACACTCCGTCGGAAACTCTAAGGGTATAGGCTGTTTTTAAATAGTATGTGATTTTGCTTTTGAATTTTGTGGCAGAAATGCGAAGAAGGTAATATTTTAAAAATCAAGTCAAACACACAAGAAACTGATAATAAGAGGACAGTGCAAAGTTTTTAAATCAATCTGCTGAGGAGCAGAAAGAGGAGGAGGAGCAACAGGAAGAGGAGCAACAGGTGGAGGAGAAGCAAGAGAAGGAGGTAGCAGGAGGAGCAGCAAGAGGAGTAGGCAGCAGGAGAAGCAGCAAGAGGAGAGGCAGCAAGAAGAGGAGCAGCAGGAGAAGGAGCACCAAGAGGAGGAGGAGCAGCAGCAGGAGGAGCAACAGGAAAAGGAGCAGCAAGAGGAACAGGATGAGGAGGAGAAGCAGCAAGAGGAGAAACAGGAAGAGCAGGAGGAGAAGGAGGAAAAGCAAGAGGAGGAACAGCAGGAGGAGGAGGAACAGAAGGAGCAGCAAGAGGAGAAACAGGAAGAGCAGGAGGAGAAGGAGGAAACGCAAGAGAAGGAGCAGCAGGAGGAGGAACAACATGATGAGGATCAGCAAGAGGAGGAGCAACAGAAGGAGCAGCAAGAGGAGGAGCAGCAAGAGAAGAAGCAGCAGGAGGAGGAGCAGCAGGAGGGAGGAACAGTAAGAGGAGGAGCAACAAATCTTTACCAGAACACCATAATTCAATCATTTTTAAACCACAAAATACACAGTTTAAGAAAATATAAAAATAAAGAAACTGAGATCACTGAGTTGAGTAACAGAGTGGTATCTATATATGCATATATTTATATACTTTTTTGGTGGGGCCGATTGCAACCAAAATACGTGGTGCACATCTACATGTTATAGCAGTGCTATATACAAAGTTTCAACGTTCTGAGTTTCAACGGCTACTCGTTTTTGAGTTATGCGAGATACACACGTACGTACAGACGCCATGAAAAATTCTTTTAGAATTGATATTAAAGCAGTTTTATATTTTTCTTGGAGGAAAACAGTTCTTTATTCTTTCTCTACAGATGTTACGCGAAAACATCCTTCATTTGCATTCGATAGCGGATAAAATGGATATAATTTTTGAAATATGATACTCAGAATTATGCGTGATTACGATACTTACTTTATTTCGTACAAAAATGTAATCTTTAGAATTCAGAATAAAGTGGAGGTTGCCACACGTATTTTTATATTCGCTATATTATTTCTTTAAAAACCAACCGTTCGCACGGCCACCCATCTATAATAGTTACCATAAAAAATTAAAAAGTATATAATGGTTTTAATGATAACAGCTAGAGTAATTTCTAAAAAATATTGAATATTTTTAAATTAGACATTATATTGTTTATTTAAGTGATTTGCATTCAAAAGCAAAATATTCTTAAGTTTGTAAAGAAACGTGGTGTAAGAGGTAAAATATCATCTAAATTGTTTAAGTAGGTAGAAGCAAAAGGAATAAGAGAATTTTTCGGCATTATTATGAAAACGTAAAGCATGTGTGCAATTCTATAAAAAGAAATGAGCTATAAAATGAATGCAAAAAATGTATGCGGATTTAGTGCTTAAAAATTTTAAATCAAAAGAATTCCGTATTTTTATTACTAATTATCCGACTTCCTTTAGAAATCGATGGGAAACTGCGTTTGCGAAAGTAATTTCTTATCGAGTTGTTGTTCTGGTGGTGTCCATATTACATGGAACGATGGTTGCCAAAGCCAGCCCACTCCAAAGAGAGGCTGGACTTCTATTTTCCACCCCCCAGTTTTGAGGAAGAGCACCTCGGGGGGAGATTCGGGGGTCTGCCACCCCTCTCCTCTCCCACCAGTCCACACGAGAGGACTTTCGGCTCCCCGCATATCTAAAGTGCCGCCATGCCTCACCGACACTATACATTTACAAACATCCATGTCTTGTCCGGGATTCGAACACGGGCTCTTCGGTACCGTAGTAAGCTTGCGAGAAGTCCCGACCCTTAGGCCAGTCTCGGACCTAAAGAGTCGGACATTCCATCAGCTCCTAAGAATATGGCAAGCCTCCACAGGGAGACGTATTTACAATCTCATTCCCAAGGTCAAGACAACAACCACCAATAGCATTACATGACGTATTTTCCTCACTGTCATGGCTCTTCCCTTCATACCTCTGTCGCGTTTGGCTTGAGAGAGAATGGTAACTGTGAATGTGGGGAGAGAGATGGTCATCCAGACCATTTTTGTTCTCTTGCCCACACACACACTTAACAGCCTCAAGCACCAAGCCAGATCTGGCCAATTGGTTCCAGAATTAATGAGTTGCGACGGAAACTAAAACATAATGACTACTGTCTACAATACTCTTGCGCTGAAGATAGTGGTCAAAAGTCTATATAGCGGTTTAATAGTCAGCACAAGTATGTAATATTACGTCAATAGAATTTGTAATAAGAACTTTTACCCTGTTTGAAGGTAATAAAGATGATTTAAATAGAGTTCTTTCAACAATGAATTCTATTGATCCTGCTATTCAGTTCACTTTTGAACTTGAGACTTGCAATTCTCTTCCGTTTCTCGACATTCTGGTCACACGTAACACATCCAACTTCAGTACTACAGTTTACCGTAAACCTTCATCGGTTTGCCTTCCACCACACTTTAAATCATGTCATCCGACTAAACAAAAGTTAGCTTCATTTTATTCCTATGTTTTCCGTGCTCTTCAAGTTTGCTCCTCCAAACTAGCCCTTGATGAAGAACTAAATTATTTAAAAGCAATAGCTATTGACAGGGGCTTTTCACCCAACATTATTAATCAAGCAGTTAAAAAAATTCTCATCTCAACACACTAAAAGCCACACTCTTATTTTAGGAGATTATAAAAATTCTGTTGTCATTCCCTTCTTTCCAATCAATTAGCTATAAAGTTGCACATATTTTGCAGAAATTTAACTTTCGGGTTGTTTACTTCTCCCATCAATAAAATTCCAACTTCTATACTCAAGGACCCCATTCCGGATATGAATTCCTGGGGTATTTATAGGATTCCTTGCCAGTGCGGTTTAATTTACATTGGCCAAACTAAGAGAGCCTTAAAATTTCGCGTCAAAGAACATGAGGCATATGTTAGAAAAAAGGAAACACAGAAGTCTTCTGTTGCTCAACATTGTTGGTCCGAAAATCACACTTTCAATTTTTCTGCTGCCAAAATTATTCAAAAAACATCTTCCATTGGAGAACTGGATTTTCTAGAGGCATTTCACATTCATAAAAATCTTTCTGTTCTAGTTAACGATCCTAATTCCAATCCAAATTTGCCTTCGGCTTTTAGAGAAATTATGTTTTAGTTCTGGTTTCGCCAACAGATGGCGCCACTTGCTTATTCTTGTCCAGGCTTTCTTATCTTATCTAAACATTATTTCCTATCTTGTTCATTTGCGGTTTTGCAGCTGAAGATGATGGTTCGGTAAAACCATCGAAACTAGTCCTGTGAAAATTTTGTAAATTAACGCTGATTTTTGTTGTTTGACTTCTGAATTAATTTTTTTTGCTGTCCATTTTTCAACGCAAGTTCGACGTTCGCATTTTATCTTTTATGACCTAATTTCTAAAGGACACGCATACCTCATGGCCTCGTAACCTACTATCAAACGTATTGTATAATGTATAAACATTATGAATAGAGTGAAAGTATTATACTTTTATTTGTTTCGGAATATATGTATGTAAGTGTGTATATATTTGTATCTGAGTTGCTATTTATATGTATATACATATATTTTGATTGTACTCTTCTTCAAGTGCCTTGTATGCACATGTATATATTTCTTTGTACATTGTTGTACTCTTCTTTAAGTGCTTTGTATGCACATGTATATATTTCTTTGTACATTGTTGTACTCTTCTTCAAGTGCCTTGTATGCACATGTGTATCTCTTTTTTGCATTTTATAAATGTCGTCTACTCATCCGGGGCTGCCCAGAGCTGCGGCCTGGCAGCTAGTCGTTGACTCCCGCTGAGTTGGTAACCAATTCTGCATGGATATATCTATACCTGGGTCGGAAGCCAACTCAGCGGTTTACCTCCCCTAACCACTAATACCGTCTGGGTGACTCTTATCGAGTATATTTGGGTTTAAAAGACAAATAATGGGAACATCTGATAGTTAAAGAACTCTAAGATTGATAATGGGAACAACTGGAACTGCCAAAACTGGTAATGGAAACAATTGCGTAGTTTTTCAAAATGAGAAGAAAAGAAAAGAAAGAAATTTTTACTTTGAAATTAATCCTTATTATTTATTTTATATTTTATTCAATTGTTTCATTGTAAGTAATATTCATGTTAAATGAATTTCTGTTTTTTACGTTTTTCTAAATGGGTTGTTTAGTACCATCTTGCATTAATATTATCAAATTTTCTTTAAACCGGGTTCTGGTAAATGAGACGTAAAATTAGCTGTTTGTGAGATAACATCCAATGTCTGAGAAACGATCATAGAAAAAGGTTTTTAGTACTTGTTTTATTGTGCAGACAATTACGGAGATAATAGAAAATTTAATTCTTTTGAGAGTGAAATTTAGGTACGAATTTCCCGGCTCGACGTTTGTTTGAAACAAAAACACTACGTCTTTTTTACCAGCTAGAATAAAGGATATTTTCAACTATAATCGGTTTACGCAAACCTTCTAGTAATGACCAGTATTCTTTCACGAATTAAAAGTCTATTTTAAAGTATTTGAAGGGTTTCTTCAAGAAGAATATAGGAAAGTGTTGACTTAAAAAAAATTATTAAAAATGTTCTGAAAGTTTTCAGATTTTATATTACTCCCAAACGGCTTTTTTTTTTCCTTTTTGTGTATTACCTTTCTTTGCTTTCTTATAAAATCTCATGTTCTTTGCACTTAAACCAGAAAATTCAACTCAAGCGCAATATTGCAAAATAATTTTAAATTGAATATATATTTAGAAATTCCGATACACAAGTCTCGCGCACTGGAGATAATTCTTTTCCCGTACAGTGTTGCCACTGCTCACTTTGAAATCGTAGATTTTGTTAATCCAAAATTCGTAAAGTGTAACAAAATACGAAACCGATAACATAACCAATTCCAAATTATAAATTAGGGCTTTCAGATGCTCATATTAAGTGCAGGATTACGTATTTCAGAATTGGATGGCTCTAGGTACCGTCGTTTTATCCCAATGCGAGAAACATACATACATTTATGTAGATCAAAGATGTCAAACTCGCGGCCCACAACAAATATTTTTGCGGCCCGGCCAATATATCGGCAAATAATAATATATAATAATAAAATAACATATCGACGAAGAAAAAAGAAATGTTACTGCTAAGTAATTAACGATAATTTATTCAGTGTTGTTAGATTACTCACAGCGAGCTGACACATACACTACTTCATTGTCTCGAAATACAGTTGCGGAAAGAGTTACTGATTTACCCGCGAATTTAAGTGATCAGATCAAAGCAAACATTAGTTTCGAATGTTTCTCCATTGCCTGTGATGAGAGCACGGACATTAGTGGCAAGCTCATATAGCAGTGTTTCTTTCGTTCTGTGACAAGAATTTAACATTTTTGAGGAATTACTGGAATTA